CGATAGCCCGTAGAAAATTGCATTTGTTGTAGCCTTTCCAACATTCACTTGTGTGTAGCATGTTGCATGCACAACCACTGTCCATCAAGAAACTTGCAAGTCACAATAATCTTATCAAACTCAATGTTCATGACCTGGTTGAAACGAGATTCACTCACTCCACAATGATTTGACTTGGCTTTCTCTTTCCCAAACTTGTATAGAAATCAATAAGTGATTTATTGATTATGCCATCTTCCTTATTTTCTGTTGTTGGCTTGAAGAACCAATCATTTCTACCTTGGATGACTGTATCCTTACCAATGCCTTATACTTTGAAATCAGTGACCACTATCTTGAATCAATAACTTGCCATTTTCACTGCATTATTGAATTCTGACATATTGAATGTGGAATGGGTCTTTGGTATCAGCTTATGATCATCAGCACATGCTATGTTATCATCCGCTTCGACTTGCAAATATATTTTTGTGTCTATATTACAGAATAATTATTACATATCTTGTATATTTGTCCGTAGATAGCACGCCATATGTACGACAAGTCTCCTTTCATAATTCATGGGCATTTACATTCGTTGTGGTCATTTGATATTCATAGGAAACTATTGTATTCATTTGTAAGCTAGCCCCATATTCATAGGAGACTGTTGTATGCATCTATAAGCAAGTGTAGTCTTTTGGTTATTTGTAAGACATTATATTTCTTGTATATGACCTTTTGATGTCATTGAGAGTTTGCATGTCAGCTTGTGTTGGTTGTAAGAGAGTCATATTTTGACTTAAACTTGGTATGCACTCTTCAAATATTTCTTCTTTGCACTACCACTCTCTTTCTTTACATATGCATATAGGAGATATTATCGTTTGCATATGATTGATCAAATATTGTGGCTTGCCATTGAATTGCATTTGGAATTCCTTGATCAACACGAGCTTCGTGCTCATTTATATCCACTTGACTGATTTAGATTCATTTAGATCTTGATTGCTCATTCATTGATCCAAGGTTTGGTTCTATATGCTCCATTCCAATTCAAGTTCTTTAGAGCTCATATTCGTTCAAGTTCAGCTCTTCTTGATCAGACTTGATTCAAGTCTTTTGCTCATTCGAGTTTGATTTGACTTCATGTTCCTTAAGTTTAGTTCAAATTCATGTTCGGGTCCACTATGCTTAATTCAAATCAAGTCCAAGCTTACAAGTTTCAAGCTTACAAGTTCTCTTGCTTATGTTCAAATAGTTCAAATCATTTGATTTTTAAATGCAAGTTCAAGTTCATTTAAAGCTCAAATCAAGTTTGAGTTTAATGTTTGCAGGTTCAATGTCATTTGAGTTCAAGTTATAGTATGATCTTTTGTAATTGCAAGTCACATTCATATTCAAGTACAAGCCTTTCGTAGTCGAGTTGCAAGTTCTATTTCATATCCAAGATGAGTTCAAGTTCATGTTCTAACTCAAGTCCAATATGAGTTTAAGTTCAAGTATAGTTCAGACTCAAAGTGAGCCTCTTCCATTCGTTTGAGTCCCTGTAGTCCCAAATATTGTTCAAGTCTTTATGATTATTCAAATTTAGTTATCTTTGGTCAAATTATTTGAAGTCTTTTCCTTGATTATTTAACTCATTTGATGTTCAAATTCAAGTTAATTTAGTTCTCATGTCATCCAAATTGAGCTCAATCAGGTCCAAGTGTAGCCTTGCGTTTACCCGAAATTTCGGCAACCTCCCAACGTTTCCCCCGTTTAGGGGAAAATTCCGGGAAACTGTGCCTTTCCCAATACGCTAAGAAAAATGTGTATGGTAGGTGTCCTCGGACGAGGACATCGTGGCCGTATTATCTTTTTCGTCCCCCACCACGCTAAGAAAAGTATGTATGGTCCTCGTACCTATTGCAAAAGAAAAATAGTTATTTCCTCGCAGGCTGGTACTTATGGGTATCCCCACTTCATCATACGCATCGCACCGGGTTCCCATCCCACCACGCTAAGAAAAGAGTGTATATGTGGTTTTCCGGTGCGCTACGAACACCGAAGAAGGGACTTTAGGTGATCACCTGATTCGTCAAGAGCACCGCGACGAACTTCCTCCCACCACGCTAAAAAAAGCGTGTATAGGTAATCATTTTGTCGCGTTACAAGCGTCGAAAGAAGGTTCTCAGAGTTTTAGGGTTTAGGAATTATAGCTGCGCGGGGTCGGCACATGGATCAGAGTGAGGGAAAAGTGAGTTTTTTTTTTTTAAATTAATTATAATTAATTGTAATTAATTATAATTAATTAAAATAATAATAATTAATTATAATCAATCTTAATTAATTATAACTAATTATAATTATTATTAATTAATTATAAATAAGAATACTTAATTTATAATTAACTTAAATTAGCTACAAGTAATTATAATTAATAGAAGAGCAAATGAAGATTATCTGGAAGAAATCTGCTGTTTATCCGGCAGGTCTATTACTGCAAGAGCAGTGGAGGCTATCAGCAAATTCAACAGTTTTGTTGATGATATGGGCTTTTATACTTGGTTAAAAAAATTGAGACTTCCAGCTAGGATTGAATTGTTTTGGTGGAGATTGAGTAAAGAAGCTATCCCAACAAATGAATTCCTAAAATATAGGAAGCTTAAAGATATGGATCGTTGTGCTAGGGGATGTCTGGAAACTGAAAACCTGGAGCATATAGCTGTCTGATGTATTCATCTTCATGAGATACTTCGAATGATTCAACAGTGGGGATTTTATATCCCAATTTTCAATTCTCTGGAAGAAGGTTTTTGTGAGCTGAAAAAGCTTGTTAGTATTGCTCATAATATTGCCAATTTATACTGTACTTCGGTATACTTTAACTGGAAGAATAGAAATGAGGTAAATTAGGGAAAATTCTGTAAAATCTGTAGCAATTACTGCAGCTAATGTGCTGTCTTCTTCCTTCAAATATGCTAGTCCAATCATAGATAGCTGGGGTGCTAATCTCCTTATGGAGTCTCAAAATTTTTGGCACCCTCCACCGCTTGGTTGGATTAAAATTAATGTTGATGCAGCTTTTCTAACTTCTTATAATGCTGGAATTGGTGGTTGTTTCCGGGATCATAAAGGAAGACAATTGATTGCTTTTGGAGAAAGAAGAACGCATTGGGATATAAATCGCCTTGAGTAGAGGCTGTGATGACGTTAGAAAAATTTCTTCAACCATGGATGCTTGAGTGTAAAGGAATTAATAATTGAAGGGGATAACATCAATGTTATCAATTCATTCAAAATTCTTTGAATAGGAATTGGCATAACTATAATCGGATGGAGGACGAATTTCTCTTCTTGGCCGATTTCAATAAGGTAATTCTTCACCATATAGATAGAGGTTGTAATAAGGTAGCCGATATGTGTGCTATTTTGGCTTTAGATAACAATTTTTGGTTTGATAGTTCTTCTTTTGCTAACATTCTCCTTCACTTTTTCTTTTTTAATTAAAAAAAGGATGTGAGACTTTTTTCTAGCTTGTATCTTGGTTTCTTTTTTTTTTTTCCATTAGTAATTGCTTTGCATTCTTAAAAAAAAAATACAAGTAATTATAATTAATGATAATTAATTAAATTAAAAATAATTAATTATAATTAACCTTGATTATCATTAATTAATTAAAATAAAAAATAAATTATTTATAATTAACTTAGTTTAAATATAATTAATTATAATTAGCAATAATTGATTAAAATTAATAATAAGTAATTCTAATTAATATTAATTAAATACAATTAATTAAAACTAATCGTAATTAATTATAATTAATAGGAATTAATTTATAATTAATATTAATCAATTATCATCAACTATAATTAGTATTAATTAATCACAATGAATTAAAATTAATAAAGATTAATTAAGAAGGTTGTCGAGCTACTGGATTCATGTAGGATTTTTGAATAGAATTTATGAGCAATTAAGTCTCATAGCTAATTGAATATCTAATTTCCATGTTCTTACCCTTACTGAGCGGTTTCATGGGATTGGGCCGAAGTAACGCGTGAAAGGGAGAAGTTACCTTTAGAGCAAATGAGCTCCCGTCGTTACTTCTGATCAGACAGAGTAGGGAGCGCGTTGAGGGAGGTTAGGGCTTGGTCGGCAGAGATTGGAAAGGTAAGGGGAAGATCTCTCTCTCTCTCTCTCTCTCTCTCTCTCTCTGCTTGTACGGGTTGGCCGAGAGGTCGGAGATGGAAGAGGGGTTCGGGACAGAAAGCAGTCGGCAGCTTTGCGGGAGTTTGGAGATTGAGGCTTCAACAAGGTTTAAAGTAGCGAATGGGAAGGAGTTTGGAGTTAGGTCGTTGGGAGCTTGGCCGTGAATTGGAGAGGGAAGATCGGGCCTTGCTGTGGATGGGATTTCTACAAGGGGTATGCGAATGGAAGAGAGCAGCAACGACGGGAGCTTGGGTTTGCTTTTAAAGGCGTTGGAGAGCAGTGCTCGAGGATCTTCCACAAGATTTGAGCAAGGATCCAGGAACAACGCCGAATGTACAGTGATTCGGCGAGCTTGAGCGGGATTTGCCGGATCTGGCGGGGGTAAATACCCACATTTTATAACATATAAGTGAATTTTTTTGTTGTCTTCTGGATAATGCATAGAGGTCAACATTCTATGAGCCTTATTTATATATGTTTAGTACAAAAGCAAATCATTATGTAAGATCACTCACACTTGTTTGTGTTTTATTAATGTATGTGTGCACAATTGGTTCTCAAAGATTTGTGTAGTGTTGTTGGAGTTTCTATGTTAATGTATTCAATACTAGCATATATAGTCACATTAAATGTACGTTTTGTGCCATGATTACCATATGTATATATTTTTGTTCTTGATAGTGCAAGTATATCCACTACTCAACAAAGGGTGAACTTGGTAGCCTCTCTTTTTGTTGTTATTGTATATGCACTACATCTATCTTGCATTTAACACATACATGTTGATGAAGCAACAAATACTATTAATTTTCAATAATATTCCTTGTACATTGTGAATGCTCTTATTTTGAATGGTCATGTTCTAAAGTCAATGTTAAAAATAACTTGTGTAGAATTCCAAAAGATAATGTCCTCTCTTTTAGACGGTATTCCCTCTTGCAATTCTATGAGAAAACCCGAGTCAAAATATGATAAGCAAATGCAATAAAATTTACATGTCTCATAGGTATAGAAACCAGGTTTGTTGTGGTGGATCCTGACCACCTTACTTTCTTGCAAGCCCCGGGTTGTAGTTATGTTCTCAAATGAATGAATAAAAGATTTCTATTTATGCATTTGTTTCATGCATTATCATAAATGATGCTAGGTAGATTCGTTTGCATTTGTTTCATGCATTATCATAAATGATGGCCCAAGCCTGACAACCAGGTAGCAGTCTGAATCCGTTCTCTCTTTGTCCATTTTTTATGTTTTGGCCTTTTGGTGTATTATTCTTTTTTCTAATACATTTCCCTTTTGTTAAAAAAAAAATCATAGAAATCACATACATATGCATCGTACCAGCTTCGGAGGTCGAGCAAAGAAGCGGAAGTCGACCAGAGAAGTAGAGATCTAGTGGAGGATGCCAGATGCTGTCGTAACTTCAGATATAAATCAGGTAATTGATTCAGCCCCTTCCCCATAATAGTTACATTCAAGGCATCCGTTTCTGTGGTTTATATTTTAAGGGGACTTCTTACATATGCTTTAATGAGGGAACTTCCTTTTCTTCTATAGAAAGCATGTTAAACATGATCTAATGATCTTTTGTATTGTCTTGTGCTCTTTCTTTTTTTTTTTTTTTTTGCTTTTTTTTTTTTTTTTTTTTTTGCCATGTTATACTCGTTGCTACTTTTTTTTTTTGGATAAATGAGTTGATTCTTAACTGCACTTCATACAGCTGAAGCCATCAAAGGATTGCACATATGATTAAAACTTTTTACTATTTCTTTTCGCCGTAAATCTTCCTTTCATTTGTAACTTCCTTTAAGAAGGTTGTAATTTTGATTTTCCTTATCACATTTTATTTTTAACAGCCCCTCTTAAATCCTTATTCTTCCACAGAATTCAACATATTCATCAGCATCATTAATTGCCAAGGTGAGTTTTCTCTACTTAATTTAATTATTTTCAATTAGGTCAAAGCTTTATTTGGTTAAGCAGATTTTTATGTAGCTAACAACTTTTGCCATTTCTCTTTAACCTATAGCAAAAGGTGGTGGTCAAGCTCTCAATGATAGATGCCAAGAAGCGTTCAAAAGCCATGAGATGTGCTGCTGGATTTCTTGGTAATTCACTAACAAGCTCCATTCCTCTCACTTTCGGCTCATGAAACAGTATTTAATTCTTTTTTTTTTTTCTAATTCTTCAATTTTAATTTTTTTTTTAAATTTTAATGAAATAGGTTTAAGACCTCATTCCATTAATATTATATATATGTACTAATGATAGATTAATCTATCATTATGATTTTTCGAATTCTTCAATCTATTATATATATATATATATTATTAATTTGATTATGATTTTTTTTGTACGCAGGTGTACTATCTCTGTCAGTTGACGGGGATAATATATATGATGGTGGTGGGAGACGATATTGATGCAGTGAAGCTGAAGATGTTGCTTAGGAAAAAATTTGGTTTTGCTGAACTTATTAAATTAACCCAATGTGGAGGAAAATATGAAAAACAGTAAGCCGGTGATTTCTCTCTATCATGGCCCGCTTATTGGTAATATGACCCAACCACGCGAGCCTAAATATTATTAAATTGTTGCTCTATTATGCAGTGCGTGGTTTATACATATATGTGTGTGAATCCATAATGTTCTTGTAAATTTTTATCTGTGGTTCACTGTTGCAATTTAAAAGATGTCTGTGATTGTTTTTTCTTTCTATATATTTAAATCGAAACTCTTATGATTTAATGCATTATGTAATTCTGACATATATGAGTTAAAAAATGTCAGTTATGATATAATTTCCTGCTTCAACGATTTGTGAATGTTTTAAATTTTTCGTTTTTTATCCTCGTTTTCATTATTTATATTCAAATGTGAATATGTGCTATTGGCATCAAAGCAGAAGAAGAGTGCATAATTTTTACAATCTTAATCATGAAATATGATACGAATATGAGATGAATCTTGGTCCATTGAAATGATTTAAAAGAGTAACTCAATGAAATTTGATTTTTTTATGCTTTATGGTGGCAGAAATTATTCAAATTAAGGACATACTAGTTGTTTGTTTTATTTGAAAAATATATGCAAGAAAGTTTTTTTACATCAAAAGTTCAAATCACATTTCAAAAATTTCAAACTAGGTTCAAATATTGATCAAATCTTATTTCAACATTCGATCCTGATTCAAAAGGTGTTTAATAAATGTTTAATCATGATGTAGGCATAAAAATTGTCAATCCTTCAAATTCCTTAATTCTTAGGTCTAACTATTTTAATTTACTTTCTTATACATGATTGAGCTGGCTATGCTCAGTCTAGGTCAATTGAACTTAATTAGGTTGGTACCTTTTTCCTATCTTCGAGCATTAAGTTGACCTTCTGTTAATGTAATATGACATATTTATCACTGTTAATGTACTTCTGCATGCCTTAAAACTATATCATTTAAAACTAATAGAGATAGTACAACTGCGTCAATATCATCTCCAACCACAATCATATTGAGAAATTATTAGGTACGGAGTGCGGGCAGGAGAACCGTCCGCACACTAGTATAAAATCGTGCTCGGTACCGTTCGGTACCACTCGGTACCACTGGGTACTGCTTGGTACTCTGTGTCTGTGCAGACGGTTCTCACCCCGTCCGCACTCCGCACCTAATAATTTTTCCAATCATATTATCCCTGTTAACTGATAGAAATAGTACAACTGCTCAAAAAACAAAATCATAATCAAATTAACATTTAATATAGGATTACTAATTATAATATTAATGGGATTAGTTCTTAAAACTGTATCATTTATATTTAAAAAATAAATTTGAAAATTCAAGATTAAGAAAAATAGAGTTGAATACAATTTGATGAGCTGAAAGTGCATGGCTTTCGAACACTTCTTGGCATCTATAATTGAGAGCTTGACCACTACCTTTTGCTTTAGGTTAAAGTGAAATTGAAAAAGTTATTAGCAACATAAAAATCAGCATAACCAATTTAAGCTATGAACTAATTAAAATCTTTCAAATTAACTGGTTGAGAAATCTCACCTTGGCCATTAATGATGCTGATGAATATGCTGAATTATGTGGAAGCATAAGGATTTAAAAGGAGGGGCTGTGAAAAATACAATGTGAGAAGGAAAATCAAAATTAGAATCTTTTTAAAGGGTGTTACAAATGAAAGGCAGATTTGCGGGGAAAAGAAACAGAAAAATCTTTAATAATATTTGCAATCCTTTGGTGCCTTACTTTCCTTTGATTTTATTATTGTAGCATAAAAAAGCTAGCTTATTCGATAACCAATCATATTTTCATAAATCAACCAAAATAAGTCTAACATGTCGCTGGGGAAATTTTGTCATCCTCAATGAATTGCATATTGTGTGCTCTATCACGACATGAAAATGATATATTATCTTGAAGGTCAAAAATACATTTTTCTTATAGACTCAATAACAAAATTTATAATTTTAATTTTAATAGAGATTTCCACCGTTTAAAATTTGGTTGAATAAGATTTATTTTGTTCTATGGTACGGATGCCCCCGGAGGGGAAATGGGGGTTTTTTCTTGCATATCCTTGACTAAATGTACTTCCTTTTCTACTAGCCTTGGCATGTTTTTGCTTGATACATTACGATTTCTTATTTTTTGCACATTTTTTCTAGTCGGATATTCATAATGCTTCAAGTGGACAAGTGACACCATATGCATCAAATTGTAATTCACTTTGGACGATCCATCAGAACATATTTGGCATGCTTACATGTTTGAAAGGAATTTTGAAAGTTCTTTTATTCTGACTCCACTTCCATTCGGTCATCGACCATTGCCAGACTTTTGCCTAGTAAGCGAGCAACGATGGACTTTCAACCTGCCCTCAACTGGCACCGAACTTCTGTCAGGCTATTGACTATCGCAGGACTTCTACACACCCTTTGGCTAATGCCAGACATTCACCCGCTACTACTGACGCCGGTCTTTCGCCTGGGCACTCACTGATGTCATACTTTCCCCTGGCCATCTACTGATGTCGGACTACAGCCCAGTCACCGACTGACACCAAATTCGGCCCGACCACTGATATACATAAGATTTTTTCTAAAACACCAACCTTCGTCGAACATTCTCCTGGCCACCAACCGACGTTGGACTTCAGCCCGACCACCAACCGATGCCAAACTTCAACCTGTCCTCTGACCATTGTCAAACTTTCCCTATGCCACCAACCATCATTGGATTCCATGAAACATGACCAAATGACATTGGATTCCATATATATGACTTGCATATTGTTTATGCATGCCCCTAGCAATAACCACATTAGTTTGAAGGCATTTCAAGATCTCTAAACCCTTAAGCTCAAAGCATTTCATTCAAATATTATGCATATTTTAAAGTAATAGCAAATTCTACCATTTATCTTAAATAAAAAACAAATGGAAGTGCTTAAGCACTCAATGGTAGATGCAATAAAGCAATCCAAAGCCATGGGGTGTTGATGTTACATTGATTTCTAAATCATAAACAAGTTCCATTCCACTCTCTTTTGATTAGGTTGTTAAATGGGTTCACGCCAGGTTTGGGTTGAACCTAGATTGATCAGGGTTTAAATGGGTTTGACCCTAACCCAACTCGTTTTTGCAAACGGTTCAGGATTGCCAACCAGAACTCATCCGACGTGGGTTACCTTGTTGACCCGACACGATACGCCGACCCGCTCTTTCTCGAAATTTGAGTTCAAAATTTAAATGGTGAAGTGCTTGATGGGCTGATGACATGGTGAAGGTGGCTATGCCGAGCTGGTCAAGCGAGCTTTGTCGAGGCGTTGCCTCGTGTGGCCATGTCGCACAGAGGCGAAAGGAAAGTTAGTTAGTTAGGTTAGGTGAAAAGGTCGAGGTGGTGCCTCATGGCTTGTGCAGGTATGTCGTTGCCATGTGCAGCATGGGCGGCTGGGTGCTGGATAGTGTGGGGAGGTGAAGGCTGCCTGGTCGTGGCGGTCAGCCTAGCTAGGGCTAGGCTGGGTGCGTGATGTGCATCATGCGGCTCCCGATTGCGAAAGCAGGCTAGGGCTAGGTTTGGCGTGTGCTAGTGGGCTAAGCCAAGCGAGACCCATGGAATAGAACTGACGAAAGGCTAGCAGACCCGAAATCTACAATATTTTCAAAACGAGTCACATATTTGAACCCGAATCCGATCCATTTGATAAATGGGTTGACCCAAGTTTGAAATTTTCTGGTTAGTGTTAAATATTGATACCCATACTTTTGATGCTTTAAACGTCATTTAGTTCTAATTTTCCATTTCTTAAAATTTGAAAATAATTTTTTTTTGTTAAAAAATAGTATTAATAACTCAGAAATTTGTTACGTATATTAACTAATATTTATAGAAAACTAAAAATAATTTTATGATTAATATGGCAGACATCCATTATATTTAGTAATACTAGATTATATGTTAATTTGATGATGATATATTTTTTGTAAGCAGTTGTAGTATCCGTGTCACATCGTGGGGGATAAGAAGACGAATGGGTGAGAGAAGGATTTCAATTTATATATTGGACGATATTATTGAGAAAAAATGTTACGCATTTTGAATTAGTGAAAATTATGTCTATATAGGAGAAAAAGGATGTAAACATCAAGATTAGTCAACCACTAATATCTTCAAACTATTATGTCCATCCAGTTAGTATTAAGACCCAACCATCCTACTTGTACGTGGATTTTAGACAGACATATTACTGTAGAAAAAAATGTCGTAATATGTAAAAGTAGTTTAATTATTTCCTAAAACAAGGAAATAAATGCACTTAATCTCTCTGCAAAAATATGTGTAGAAGTTCATTTCAGATCCGTAGGTCAAATTATATTCAAGCAAACTTTACGTTCATATTCAAATTATTATCAATTCATATATGAGCCAATATTGGCCATCATAGAAAGGTGGCTTAAATATGATTCAATCACAATGAATAGCAGTAGTAATTGTTAATTAGGAAATAAAAGGAAAGCGTTTATAGATTTTAACTACTATTTTTTATGGAAATGAAACCCCAAACTAAAAAAATAAATAAATAAAAGATAATCGATAAGATTTCAATTTTGTTATAAATTAATTAATTCATTCAAAAAATAAATAATAATATAAAACAAATGAATTACATTGATTGATCATTTAAATAAATGGCCTGCACTCAAGGTATATATATTTTTAATAATAATTTATAATTGTATTTGTTTTTCAAACTATTTAATAATAAAAAGTGCTATATAAAAATAACACTTCTCTTTGGTTAGAACATATCTGTG